GCTTAATCCTTTTTCCCTCCATGGAATACATGTATTCAGCACAACTGAATGCCCTCTTCTACTTGTGCGGAAAACTTGATCTTTTCCTATGCTCCCTATGCCTAATTGAAGCTAACACTACTCACCTAACATCAAAATTAATCTCTTTAATTTAATGGGAAATATGGCCATTGTACTTTGTGGTCCGTGCCTTTTCTAAATACTCACTATTTCCATTAGACGAAGTGACTCTTATTACTGGCATGCTATTTTATATGACAAAATTGGCCATCGTTTTTTGTTTATTACAAATAATAATCGACACGATTTGCTAATTTTTTATTGGACTGTTGAAGCAACTTATTTGTTTTCGTGTTTGTTTAGTTTTGAAGATGGCTGCTGGTGGGTTTCCTCATGAGGGCTCTTTTCAGAGTGATGAGGAGGAGGAGTTCAAGCCACGTGGCAACATTCTCAAGCTTTGGGGTAATCAAGTCACAATGAATATAAACCCAATGATCCATACGAATATCATACAGTCACCCTATTTCAAGACTAATTTAATTGAACTGAAAACTTACCATGAGGTCATAGACGAAATTTATTACAAGGTATTATTTACTGATCTTATTAATTTCCTCCTTAGGTTACACATTTAGAACCATGGGAGCGTAACAGTCGTCGCATGGGAGGCCAGACTGGAATGTGTGGAGGGGTGCGCGGTGTTGGCGCTGGTGGAATTGTTTCGACTGCTTACTGTCTTCTGTTCAAGCTCTTCACACTTAAGCTTACAAGGAAACAGCTCAAAGGTCTTTTGGAGCATCCAGACTCTCCGTATATTCGTGCTTTGGGGTTTATGTACATCAGGTACGTAAGGGAGGTCTGATTGAATTTATTTGGCTAGGTATTGTCTGCCTCCGGAGGACCTTTGGATGTGGTTTGCACCGTACCTTGACGATGAAGAGGTGCGTGAATTTTGCCACTTTTTATATTGCAGCACTGGCCTCTGAGACGCCGCGAGTCCAGCTGTAACTACATTATGCGTAAGAACTGGGCTTCAACCGAATTATCCAATCTTGCCGCTTGCTTTCTACCATGTTTGTTTGTTTTTTTTTAGGAAATCGATGTCAGAGCCGGTGGTGGTTGCAATATGACGATTGGGGCCATGTTGGGCCAATGGCTTACGAAACTCGATTGGTTTTCCACCCTCTTCCCTAGGATACCGGTCCCAGTTCAGAAGAAAATTGATGAGAAGCTCCGTCTTCGTCGTCAGAGGCAGATGCGGGAAGAGGCAACTCGTGGGCAGAAGTTCAAAGATCGAGAGAATCGCAGTGATTCAGAGGAACGATGCTCCAGGGACAGAAAGAAGTAAAATGATAATCTATTCACCATTTTTAATGTTCCTCGCTGCTCTCGATGTCTGCTTTTGCTGTCCTCAGGTACAGGGATTATGATGACGAGCAGATAAAGCGACGTTCGCATTCTCGTTCACGTTCTCATGACCGGCATAGACACAGAAGACATCGATCGCGTTCTAGGAGTCACGACCGAGGTCGTCGCGAGAGCTCCTTTGATCGCGATCTCCGGAGAGCACGTGAACGACAAGAAAGGGTACGACGATAGGCAACCCTTTTATACATATTCCCGAGCACTATTGTAACATGTTTGTGTACTCTGTTATTTGGCTTTGTCTTTTATTGATAGGGAAGAGCTGGTCATGTCAATTGTTTATGGAGTCAGAATACTTTGGTGTGGTACTAAGTTCGAGTTGCTTTGGCACTGATTACACTCATGGCCTTGTTTAAGCTAGTCAACGTTGTGAATGTGAAAACATTTTGATCTCTCGTTAGTGCTGCTCAAAGTGGGGGTTGTAGTGAAAGTGCCTCATTATCGTTTTATCAAGTTTTGCATATTGCTTCACCCAAGTGAGATCGCCTTTATTTGAACGCGCGGTTGTTTGGTCCGTTTAGCTACTGTTTCGTCAGATTTGGAAGTTTAATGTCGGGTCATGAAACAATCATGGGTTTATGCTCTGATAGTCGGCTGTGGTAGTCATTTCTCGCAAATCGTGTTGCAAAGTTCGGTGAGTGTGCTCCACCTTGGATACTAACCGAGAAGTTTGTGGTGCTGCCTTGCAAGCATAATGAGCAACGGAGGAATGATTGCAGTACTGTAATCTTCTAAGAAGAGCATCTACAATTGGAGTTCATCACAATGTACAAAGAAGCTGTGGATAGTGGATAATCACGCTATATCGTCATATTGAGCAATGTATTGCTGATTTTCAGCTCCATATCGCATACCTTGCACGGGTTGTTTGGGTGGCCGACGTCATTGACAAAAGCTTTCATGGAGCGAACTTAGTCTGGGTCTATTTACTTTACAAGTAGCGTTACTAGGACTCGATAGATCTTCTGTAACTCCAAAAATGTTGTACGTCGTCGTATTTTGCGGATTTTTAATTATTGCAACAGAGCACATCACATCAATTTTACTTTTCGCAACCGTCGTTATCCGACCTGCATTCAGGCTGTGAGGGTAATAGTTGTATTCGAGTTAATTAAGCAAGTCTTCAAGAGGCACCAGTAATGAAAATCAGTTGGGATAAATAATAGATAGCACCGTTGAGTTTGGTTTCACTTTCTTCGGTTGCGTTCGGTTGTAATGGTTGAATATTTTGGGCATTTAGTTTAGCGTTAGATAGGAACATACTTTGCTTCATTTTTTTAAAGACGTAATTCTAAATCGAATTGGTTACGTTAAGTTGGAGCCATTTATTTGACAGGTCCATTTTTGCCGTATGAAACCAAGTTAGTCAAGGGGGACCCTTATGCTAGAGACTACTAAATAAGCAACAAGGTACTACTTATGTAAACTGGCTGCGAACTAGTCATCACAGGGACTAAGTCAGTAAATGGCATTAGAAGTACACTTGGAGTATCTCCGGCTGATTGTAGAGTCAAGTTTCAACCATCTGTATGTAAGACGTGTCAGGTTTACCAGTGCAAGGAGGGACCTAAATTAAAAACTAATTGCTAGTTAACGTAGAAAATGTTTATCGTCTTTACGAACGACATGCGAGTTCAATAGAAAATGGGAAGTGAGATTGTCACTTTCATTGCTGCTGATGCGCATAATATTCGAGGAGATCGCGGAGTATTAGGTAAATGGGCGGATAGGCACACTGCTTGCGCTCCTCTACCTGCTCAGCGTAGACATCCAGCGCATTGGTGATGAAGGCCAGTCGCGCTGCCTCATCCGCAGTGAGGAGGCACCAACGGATGTAGCGCTCAAGGTTCCAACCAGAGACAGTCTGGTGAGGCAGTGGAATTTCATCTGGGGCGCGTGCAATCACGTGATGGAGTACCAGACTGCCTGGCAATCGGTCACCACTCAAACCTACATTACCCCGACTGCACCCTTTCAACGGCGCCAGCCCTTGTGATTTGCTCATCTGAGATTTAAGCAATGCTTAGATAACTCCAATGCAAGAACATTGATAAAGTAGAGTTGAGACTCACGGAGAGAATATCCTCAGTAGGAAGAGAGAAGAGTTGACGAAGAGTGCGCAAACGAGCAAAGGCGTCCTCAGTGGAGACAGAGGGCGGAGCAAGAGTGGCTAAGGCCATTTCGATGGCGGCGCTGGTGGTGGTAAGGTGAGAACGTTGAGCTTCATTGGCACATGGTCGAAAGAGACTTGCGTGCACTGCCAAGGCATCCAAACAATGCGGTATAACGCGGGTTTGAAGTCCTGTACGAACTGCAACTTCTCCGGAGGTAAAAATCTGCTTGCCTGCTAAGCGAAAGCCGCTGCCTGATGTGGACAGAGATGCTGAGAAGCTCGTCAGATATTCAGTTTGCAGTCGGTTGACAAACGCCTGTAGACGGAGGAGCAGTGTTAAACTTCCGAAGCAGAGATTATGAAACGTACCTGTAAATCGCGCACATAAGGTGGATCTTCTTCACCATCGGAAATTTCCTTATGAATCCTGGGTAGAACCTGATCGAGAATGTACTCCTTGATGGCTTTGAGAAGGGGTTCAAGAGCTGACAGACAGACGCTAGAGAGCTTTGTCACGATGGCCTTATCAATAATTGCTTGGGGATCCTCCACACCTGCCTTTCGGCACTCCCACATCTGCTGTTGAACGGTAGCGTGTCCTGCTATAGCCATTCGAAGTCGATCAACAAAAGCGCATGTGAAATTCACGAGATGGGCATTTTTCTTCTGAGCAGCGGTGGGGAATCCATCAACAGGCAAGTGGAATGCCTCAGGGGTTGTGATGATCAGTGCTTCGACTTTGGTTGAGAAAAGAGCCATCATTTTTGTCACATTACGAATAACCTAAAGGGATGGAGAAAGTTAGGTGACGCAAAGGTAATGCACCCTTGTAAATAAACCTTGCAGAAAAGTTCTTGCTGTACTGCAGCAGAACGTGTCAGCTCTGTTGCAACCGTTTGCACCATCCGCTCAGCATCGATGAGTCTCGGAAGATTTTCACCATTGCTTTCCGAGACATTGACGTCAACAAATGTCGAATTAACACGATCACACAGACGTGTCAAACACCGACCAAGATAGGCAGCTTCGAAAGGTGCCAAGAAATTTTTAATAGGGTTTGAAAGTCGCTGCTGCTGGTCACCAATGTTAAGAAAGAGTTTCAGCAGTCGTGGATAATCCTTTTCAAGGGCCTCCTTCAGCTGACCCGAACGCCTACGCAGTACAGGTTCAAAAATAGCGCTAAGGCAAGTGGCAATCCAACCAAGAAGGCCATCCGAACACACCTCAGCCAAGTACGCATCAACTCTCTCTGCCAGTTCCCTTATTTTCAACAAAACTGATATGAACATAAGATGAATGACAATTTATAAAAGAATTTACTGGAGTCTTTGGAACAATTTGTTTCGTCATTATAAATGATCATCATAATCGCGATGCAACCATCCCTTTCATTTGGATCATCAAGATTCTTTAAAACGTAATTGCAGAGATCACCAAGCAAAGTGACATTCTCCACAGATGGACGCTTCTTTTGCAGAGTAGCACACACCATACGCGCTTGAGCTAAGCATCGAGCTAGTGTTCCAACCATTTGGTCCAATCCACCCCAGAGAAGGCTCCGAAATGCTGCAGCATGGCCACCACTGTTGGGCAATGACGCTTTGCCTAAATTCCAGACGCGGAGAGTGGTTAAGAGCACAAATTGCAAAACAAACAGGACAGAATAGAAGCTAACTTGCCTGGTGTAGTTGAGGTAAGCGATGAAATGACTTTCCCTCTTGCTTGTTTGTTGAGATCTTCAACATCCGCAGAGGATTTGACGGCATTTTCAATTTCGGCCTGCCAGTCAGACACCAGCGCTTGAACTACTTTTGGTAGTATGGCCAAGTTGTGAAATGCCTAAAAAAGAGGCAATGCGAGTGATTTATCGCCGTGTACCTGTAGTGCAAGACTCAAACGAGCTTGATCCTTATTTTTAAATGAGGAGTAGATAACATCCCATGCCTCTCCGGTGACACGAGCCTTCTCCTTCAATAAATCCTGATAGTGCTCTTCTAAGACAGTTATTCCATTCCAATCCAGTGAAGCAAATGTATATTCCAATTCGTCGATACATTCAGATGCCTGTACAATATCGGAGGCGGCTAAACGCTAGGACAAATTTAGAAATACACACCATGTAGTTTTTTGAGAGTTGAAGAGGTTCGAAGAACACCCCGTAAAACTTCGTACACCATCCCTAGGCGGTGAATAATAGTTACTTGAGTGCTAAGATGCTCGTAGTGCTTGGCGATTCTCTGTTTGATCATATTGACACTCCCGGACACATTCATAATGCGAGACTCAACGCTTCCAACAATATTCGAAAAATTTTCCAGTTCTACGGTTTGATTGAGTAGTTCGTTGTTATATTTAGAAACATGCTGAGAAATTGCCGCGTCTAGTCTGAAATGATTTGTGCATAAATAACATTTAAAAATGAGACTATAATTCGAAACATGGCAAAATCAACACCTGTTATTATGGTCACATTCAAATGCCCAAACTTATATATGCGTCAAATGCAACGCCAACAAGAGGGACATCCAGAACTATGTTATCATTTTCATTACCAATGTTAAATTTAGCATTCTTACTCAGACAGCCTTTCAGAGACCATTTTTAGTGGTTCCAATAAGTTGTTTGTTTCAAATACTCTAGATACGAAAGCCTTCTCATCGAAGTCGTTTTGTAAAAGTCTTAGAAAGGTATCACTATCCATTGCAACACACCGAGTAGACAGAACTCACACACCGCGGGCGATTAGTTAATGGATTAAAGTTCCGCAATAATCACAGGTGTCAGTACTTAAGCACTTTTTCACTCAAATAAAAGGTAGCTTTAATCAGAACAAAAGATTAAAAGAAAATAAGACAGTTAAAATACTTCACTGTTATTGAACTTAAGACTGGAATTCCTATTTTAACATCTGAATGTCTATCGCTTATTGCAGCACATGAACTAGCCTTCAAACCAGATGATGGTATACTCTGTAGTACCCTGTCTACCTGATGTCTAGAGGTCACTTTTATATTCATCTGACCCTTGTACGCGCGAACTGCCGCTTAGGCCAAGATCAGGCCTAATCTCTATTCTCTCCTCAGAATAAATGCATCAAGTCTAACTTTATGCCCTTTTCTACATGCAATGCCTTGTTTATGTAATCGCCTAACGTTCAACAGTCACTTTAGGATTTGTCTGGCCCTTGTACACGCGGGCTGGCCATCGGGCCATGCCCAGGCCCATTTAGTCTGTTTTCGTCTAAATACATGTATCCATCCGCACTTACTGACTACCTATACTGGCCAGGAAGTCTCGAGACTCTACACCACACACGTACTTCTAACTCACATGTACACAGCACAGCTTAATTTATCTTCCATTGTGTGAAGTGGCGAAGAGCAATAAATCTCTGTAACATCTTAAATAGAGCAAATTTTCCATTTTCCTACCTAAGTAGTTGTTCTTGCGCAGTGCTAAAATTAAAAGCGCTAACAATGACTGACCTTATTCTTACAAAATTTCCTCCTAACAACCTCGCGCATTCAAATCCTACCATCTGGAAACTTCCTCATGGATAAGAGAGGTACTGTATGGCCTCTAGACTTCTCATTAGGTAGAAGAGGGCATTCAGTTGTGCTGAATACATGTATTCCATGGAGGGAAAAAGGATTAAGC